CTGACTATCTGTTATAATTGGATGTATGTCAGCCATCATGGCGGCTGGATCAATAGGTATGAGAAACAACGAGGGATAACAGCAAACATGACACATACAAAATATATTTGCTTGTGTGTATTTTGATGGTAGAGGCTCCAAAAGTGTGTGTACGTGTGATACACAGAGATCTTGTTTTTGCCTGGCGTGTCTCAGAGCAGAAGCCTAGGCTGCCACTTTCATCTGCTGTCTGTCAAGTCCTGGTTAAAATCATCATTCCAGCAAGTATTAAGCTGACCTTCAAACCTGAGTCCTCCAGGCCAACAGACACGCTAATTAACGGTTCGCTCCATAACTTCACAAAGTAATTTCATTCCCCGTATGTCTGGCTCTAGAATGGACTTGCATACTGAGATCCAGGACTTAAAAGTAGCCTGTTGGGTCACTGAATACTGCCCGAATAATGCATATAAAGTAGCTCACAGTCAACTTTAGCTTCCCCCAGTCATCCAATAAACATGTGCATAGGAATATGCCCTCCTCCACCAACGTACCAAGTTTTAAATTTTTTAGCTAAATATGTTTTACCATGAAAATGCATCTCCCTGTATGCCCCACAGCGACCGCATGTACAAGCACAATGCTTTGTGATGATAGAAATGTGAGGTGGGGACAGCACGAGCATAGAATCAGGAAACGCCACAATCTCCACTAAAGGGATTTCGTGCCATATTGTTGAGGCTTAACTTCATACTGAAGTTAGTAATGACGGGACGATGGAGCATGTGCTCATAAAATAGGACACCAGACACACATTTCCACCAGAAAGCAATCTGGTATGTTGATGCTGTGAATACTGCACTTTATCTGCCATCTGTGCCGTATACTTCCAAATGATATTTTCATAATGTGGGATGTCAAGGAATATTAGACAGTTATTCTAAATTATACAAGTCCTAGATATTATTAAATATTATTTCCAGTCCATTTTATCCATAGCATGTCCTGTTCTTGCTGGAATTTATAATTATTCCATGCAGTAGGAAGACCAAAACAGTACTTTACTATGTAGACGGGCCAATACAAGTGAAAATATGCACGACAATGTCACTGTAATTAATGCTGCCCTGTACTGGTTTGTTTTAAATTTATTTTAGGAACAACAGCAATAATTTTATGATTGCTAATCAGTCATTTGCAGCTGTATAATAATTTTGAACGAAAGAGAAATAATTATTATTCTTGAGAATAATAATTAAAAAGAAAATAAGGTCATCTTCTTATTGTTAATATTGATCAGACAGTTGTTCAAAATTTCCAACAGATTAAAACTGTCTAATATGTGCTTCAGTCTCTAATTAAATTACTAAATTTAATATGTAATACATTGTCTGTTCTTCACATTGATAATCCTTCTCCTACAAAGCAATTAAAAGTGGTGGAGTAAATCAACTGGACACTTTTATTTTTGGTTGGATGACAGCTAATTACATCTAAATATGTCAGTGCTACATCAATAAGCATATACTGAGAGATGGATAATAAATCAGAAAAGGCATTAATAAATGAAATGACAAGTAAGTAAATGCTACTAGACTTTTGAAAATAGTTTTACTAATTTGTGCATACATTCTCAAATATGTACGTCATTTAAAGACACAATGCACAAAGGGAATTATTCATAGAATCTTTGTAATGACAGTTACAGTTGAATTAATTGTGCAATTTAAGGGTTTTGTTAATCACCTCAGACTGATTGATTAACAAATAATTAAACACAAAGCACACCTTTAACAATTAGGGGGCACACTACCGCTGCCATAAGAAACTTTGAATATTAAAAAACAGCTTATTCAGAATAGCTTACCAGATGAATGAGAATGCATATTCACCATATAGTAAATAGAAAAGAAGAGTTTAATTGATCAGGCTTTATAAACCTGTTGGTGTTTAGTGTATAGTCCAGCGGTCAGTTTAAAAATGACTCCACATCAAAATTTAATTCTTCAACAGGTCTGTAATTGCATTCCATCCATATAGGCAATGTGCAAACTAAATAAATAAATCTCCTGTAATCAGGACATGATGATTGAAATCATATATACAGCTATGATGTACTTTAATAAGAAAGAGGTAATTTGGCATGCTGATAAGAGGTTCACTTCAGCATTTCCAAAAAACTCTGATACACACTTATTGCTGGTGTGCCATTGCGTGCCTAAGGTTGCTGACCCTTGCTATAGACATAAGCAGCTTTTCTTTTATTAGCAAACTAGCAGATTGCTCATTTTTTGACACATTCTTAATCTTGTAATGGTAGGCAAATTGAGAAAGTTGGTCCTGATTGTGATACTTACTATAGTGTTGGTGCAAACATGATTAACCATTTTTATAACTGCTTACTGTAGGGGGAAAACATGAAGATTTACCTTTTTATATTAGGAGTTCTTTGGCATCAATGCTCCTCTCTCTGATGTGTTCAAGCAACTGTTTCAAAATGTTCAGTTGAGACTGACTGAGATCAGTGTTATATTAATACTAACTGATGTATTGAGTAGTAGCAGCTCCACTTCTATTGATACCTTCACAGAACAGACTTGGACAACCAACTCAACTACCTTGCACAGAGTCACCTTTGGCAATCCTGTATTTTTATGGGTTTTCTCTCTGGTTAAATAACTCCTGTGACCATCTGCCTTCGGGCTCTTCCTCAGTGCTGTGGCCATGTTTGAGCCCAGCAGGGTTAAAAGCAAGGTGCTTAACAAACATGGTAATTAAACATTTTATAGCCCTTTTTTTTTCTTCTTCCTGCTCCAGATCACATTATTTATTATGAGTAACACCGCTTTCTTTATCAGATAATGCTTTAATTTGGCCTGGACAGTTAAATCGAGTCGCCTCAAGTGTTTTTGTTGGGGATGTGCCAGGATCTTAGTCTGAGGTCGACCAAAACACTCACAAAGACAAATTACTACCCATATTTTTAACTGTCAATAATACACTGACCTTGTCACTGCTCTTTCATGACCACATCAGTCACCATTTATGGGTCAATTAAAATGCCATTCTAAATGATTTGTCAGTTAGTGGTTTGCTGGTCCCTCACAGCTCAAATGAAAGGTGAGGTGAATAAGAAAAACATGGTTCAGAATCACTGAGTAGCCACAGCATTCACTGAACATAACTTGAATTGTTAAAGTTCTACTGTTCTTTGATGCGTCAATGATGCATGAGAGCACTAGGGCTGTAACGGTTCTGAAACCGAGACTGAAATCCCGACACAACAGTCCACGGTCTCGTGTCGCGGATCCGAGAGACAGAACCGCGACACACTTGCTCCCTGGACTGTTGAGCTCTCATTAAGACAGTGTAACTGCGGCGGTGGCAGTGGCCCGTGGGGTGGTAGCGGTGTACGCCTATATCGTATTTGTATTGACAGTAGGTTATTCTAGGTAATTTTCCACCTTATTTTAGTGTTTTTTTACTACTTTAATCTGCTCCCTTTCTCTTCTCCCCACACTCACACACAGCACACACACCTAGCCTGGACCTCTGGTCACTCACGACAAACACGCCCCTGTGTGTGTCTCTGCTGACTTTGTCCATCCGCAGTACGTTTCATAAGCTCACCCGTGATTCAGTTTTCAAGTGCGCCGCATGTGGTTCAAACCGAAACTAACGTTAGTGAGTGACATCTGCAGTGGTGCGTTCACCAACTCTCCGTAATGTAAGATTTCTGCTGTATACGCTTAATGTAATATCAGATAACATCTCTCTCTCTCTGTTTCTCTGCAAAATGGGGAAACGGGAAAAACCGCGGTATGAACCGAACCGTGGCTCAAGAATCGAGGTCTGAACCGAACCGTGGATTTGGTGAATCGTTACACCCCTAGAGAGCACCATTTTTTAACACGTTTTAACAATATGTCAAATGATATTTTGTAACTATCACTACACCATCAAAGTCAGTGCTGTGAAAAAAACATGAAAATATCTAGAGTAATCGTAACATACCCACATTCCCAACAAGTCCAGTTGGTTCTGTCAAATGTCACTGCAGTATTGTTAGACGATAGTTAGAGACTTGTAAAAACATAACTTGGTGATTATGGGATCGACAGACAGCCTTGTGTTGCCTGTGACAGTCGATGAACCCATTCACACTTTACCATCTATCATCACCTCTGTGATGCTTCCAAAATGAGTCCTCCATGTGGGCTTAAATTGGCCAAGGACAGCACAGATGAAAGATAGCCCATAATGAGGTTTCTCCCTTAGGAATCAATGTGTATCTTTGTCCCAGGGGCCACTGAAGGTTGTCTGTAAAATCACTCTACTGCAGGGTCTTAGCCTGAACAGCCAGCCTATCTATCACCTTGCCATCTTGTTGATGAGCAGAAGTGTCTATACAGTAACAAAGGACATTTTGGGGTACACTTTGGTATTGAATAAATTAATACAAGAGCTGTATCGGTGAAGACTTGTCATGCTGTGTCTTCTGCTGGCAATGCGTGTTACCTCACTGATCATTGCACTGCATAATCAAATTGCCCTTTGGGAATCAGATGACTTTGTGTCTGGGGGAGATAATGCAGAATATGATGATCAGCTAAACCAGGCTTGACCTTGTGTGTCGGTGTAATCATCCCTGGATTGATATGAATCTGTGACATCAAGGATAAGTCCTTACTGCTTCTGACAGCTGAGAGCAAAGAGTGCAAATCCATAATCTTTCACATGTTTTACAACATTTACTTTATGTCTGACCTTTATACTGTAATTCAAGAAGCGCTCTGCAAAGCTAATTATTATTGAAGCTTAATTGAGTAGGAGTCTAAGAAGTGGAGTAGAACTTTGCCAAGAGTGCAAATCGAGGGTGAATACAGATGTGAATCTTTACAATAGTCCACTAGCTTGATGGTGGGAGACGGAGGGAACCTGATTTGTATGATATGCACATGTCATGAACTGTGTCTGAATCTAAAACGTTTTCTCTCTTTTACTTTCTCCCTTCTCTGCAGTCCGTCTGCTTTGAGGCCAGGCAGCTGTGTGGGGCACCGGGTGTGGATCCTGCTGGCCATGACCCACCTCACCCTGGACTTCTCCATGTGCAGCCCCCTCAGCCAGGGTCTTGGGATCAAACTCACGCCTAAGTCGGTGCCTCGCTCTCGACCTCGTTGGCAGCCGCTCTGGGACACGCCCAACAAGCTTCACTGGAGAACAGTGAGCCCGTTGGCCCGCCGGCTCCTAAATGCTGTCCCTCCACCCCAAGACAGCAGGGCAGGGATAGGACCAAAAGTCAAGGGTCAAAAGCATCGGAAGCCAGTGCATAAAGGACAAGCAGCATGTAAGGAGTGCCGGTTGACATACTCTCAAATGGAGACAGGTGATCCTTTGGCTGTAATAGCCGAAGCTCCAGCCGCTTTATCCAGTGGGAGCAGAGGAGACACGGTGAGGTTGTTACTTAGAGCCAGGAGGCAGCTCAAATGGGACAGCTATGACAAGTCTCAGGAGGGCCGGACTACTACAGTGGCCGGATTTATCGACTGGGGACCCACAGGGACAGATAGCATAGATGACGATGGCAAAGCGGAGCCCAACATAACGCTGTCCACCAGGGTCTCAACCACCACAGTGGCCACAACCACTAGCACTACAACCAGGCTCTCCCAAAGGACGTTCACTATGGTGACCACACCAGAGTCCAAGACGCTAAGCACCACCAAGGCCGCTGTCAGCGTTGGGGAGACTGTCAAACCACCAAAGCCATATGGGGAACAACCAGGTAAGACAAATAAAATGCATATAAAAGGTAATCATCTAGTATTCATTTCATGGTTAATATGAGCGACTAAGCTAAAGAAATCACCTAATTGCCCTTCTTTTTAGTCACACTAAAGAGAAGACTTGCCCCATGTCATCAATACAAAACAGATACAGTACTGTGAGGATGTTCCCTCAAAGTCAGCAGTGTCCATCTATCTGCCTTAGGTTTTGTTCTCCAGGTTTACAATTTACCAAAACAATAGCTGAGACAATCAACAAACTAATGAAATCAGGACTAAAAACAATCATTTTTTGTGCTTGCATGGAGTCCAGATAGATACTACAGTCTTCAACTGTATTTGTCTAAGCAGACACTGTGGGGCTTGATCTATCATATAAAATATACTAACTGCTATTATGCAGTTGCACTTTTATTGTGCATCTGACACCTGTTTTGTTTGCATTTGCAGTAACTTAATACAGCATTTTCCCGAGAATTTTACCGCAGGCGCCCAGTTTGTAATACTGTAAATATATAAATATTGAAATACTTTCATCAGTAGCCATTCTGCGCCCAGAGAGATGCTTTTCTGGGCTGGATGTTGGCCACCAGTTGAAGACCCCTGATGTATGCCAATGGCCAATATAAATCCACAGAGCATTCTACACACACTCTGACAAGCAAATCAAAACTACTGAATCAGATATGTTACCAAAAAAGCATCAACAGAATGTATGCCATTGTGGAGACGAACAAAAAAAGTCTCCATGTAAGAGGAAACTTGAATGCTAAACAAAATAATATCAGTTTAAAGGGCACACTGGTCACACGGGGGAAATCCCCATTCACCCCTGCCCACAGGAGACCCAGGCTTTAATTGCCAGTAGTGGTATCTCCAGCTTGGTTGTGCGTTCCAACAAACACAATGGGAGCCGGTGTGAGATAACATTCTTACCATTGCACTATAGACTTCTACTGGACGGTTGGGTGCTTTCGTGGGTGTTATCCAGGGGGACATTCCTCGTCTTTTCACTGTAACACATAACTAATGATCCAGTAATGATCTGCTTTTCATTAAAATGATATTACAGCTGGGGAAAATAGCAACTGCTTCACATTGAATGCCCTTGACCATAATGTGGCTCTCATGCCTGAAATACTGTACATGGGAATATGTGGTTTTTATGGATGGTCCCTATGTGCTGGTCCTATGCAAACCTCCCAGCCAGGCATAATAGATTTACCATTTCATTAAGTCCATGAGGAGCACCAGCTTTTTAAATGGACCATACAGGTAGTCATAAAACATAAGTCATGTTTAACAACTTATGAACAAGCACTATGCTAATTGAAGTTTCCCATTTGGTGCATTTATATAAATGTCATAAAATTAGGCACTAAGGGTGATCAAAAGGCTTTGGCCACCTCCTATTCAATTACAATGAAAAATGTCTTAAGACACAGAGGAATGTGGAAATGGGAAGAAAAATGTAAAGTGGATTTTAATGTTAGTGGTATAAATATATGTTGTGCTGTGGTGGCTGAAGTGAGTAGTGAAAGTATAGTGATGTGAAATGATATGGCAGTATGTAATTGTCTTGTCAGTGCTGTTGTGATCTCTTCATTTTCTCTTGATTGGGAGGTGAGTGTTAGACCACCTGTGATTCCAAATGATGGCTTGATATTGTATCCTGGAGGAAATCAGTCACCACTGTTAACTGAAAGCTGATGAGGAAAAAAAAGGTCTGATTTTTCCAACTGGGTGCACATTGTTGTATCAATAAGCAGACTGTGTCTCATCAGAGCAGATGAATAGAGTCACATTTCAAAGCAAAGCCTGGGTGCTTAACGGCTGCAGAAAACTTTCTTTTTGCCATCACAACACATTAACCCGTGTCTGCCTCATATGGGCCCCAAGGCAAGACATAATTACCACACCAACAGCGCAGCATTGGATTGCTGATGAAATTAAACTATTAACGAAGCAGAAGTGGTTCACTTTGTCTCTGTCTCTTGCTCTTATCTCTCCTGCTCTGTCATTGAGGATGTTTATGGATACATTACCTTCAATCTTTGTCTGATTAATGCAAACTTAGATAGGACAATCTTAATCAGAGTAAAGTGATAAGCTCACATAACAATTTAACTCACCGAGATTTATGCTTGTTTATGCTTGCGATTTATTATGGCATGTATTCAGTTTAATTTAGAAATACTTTGTCCCTCAAGAGAGAATTAAAGGGAGGTGGTTTTGCAAACAATTGATGGACGAGGACATATACACATTGTGCACAACTCATACATATTATATAATATAGAGATAGATTTATCGTCACCACGCATGCAAATCTGAATGTTTTTTACTGTGCAAGGAAAGAGAGTTCTTGCATTTTTCTGTCTTACACTGGTTAAAGGATAATTCTCTTTTTTAGTTCCGTTTTGGCCGTCACTTCTAACATTTAAGAAAACATCATACTCGGCAAAGTCATTTCTGGTATCACGGCTGCATTGGGATTTGAGCAATGGGATTTTCATCCGTCTCCAGTGCTTCTTGGTTACATTTACACATACTGTAGCTTTTTTGATATCGGATAGCTATTCGGTGCCTCCAAGACGTAAACTGTAACTGAAATGTTATTTTGAACATCGGGATATTCATAGTAGTTCAAATGTAGATGTAAACATCCTTTTAACAAACATTATTTTGAGTTTACTGGGCAAATTAGTTGACACAGTCATCAAAATTATACAGTAAATTCATGACGTAAAGTAACTGCCTCTGTCATCAGTTTGTAAGGCTGCTGCATTACAGCATGACATGTCAGTGCTTAAAACAAAGGGCTGCTTTGGCACTGCTGAAAGAAGTTTTCTGGTTCATGCTCAAACAGATTTACACAGAGGCGTGTCAGCTTCCATTTAAGGCTAATTTTGAGAGTAGGAGTTTGGCTGGTGCACATGCACACGATGTCATGATAATTGAGATGTATTACACTGAAAAATGCATAACCGATTCAGAGACTGCGTATGCATTATGTATGTTTGCTTTTGTGTATGCACAGACTTTTTAGTCCTGAAACTACAATATGTTGAGATATAAACTGTGTGCATTTGGCATCCAGCTGTATGTGGCTTTCTTTCCATTGTTGTGTCTTGTCGTCCTCCAGGCTCACACTCGCTGTGCCAAGTTAACCGTGACAACTATATCAGGTGAATGGTATAAGATCTACTTATTTTCATGGCGATGCTGACACATGCCAATTCGAGAATTTAAATACACATGGGGCACTCTGCAAAACATGCAACTCCATGAATCCCAGGTGATCTGTGCCCAATGTGAGGGAAAAAAACATCAAAATCATGGTCTTTAAATACTGTTGTATGTCCTCATTATTATAGAGTATCAGTGTGCTCTCATCCAGCATCTCAAGCAGAAGCACCCCAGCTCAGAGTAAACCTTGAAGAGAAGAGCAGTTACAAAAATTCTGCCGTAATCTGAGAAATCTGAAAGAAACTGCAAAATGTTTGTCCCATTTAAGCATAGGGCATTTTGCACTTGATACATTACTGAACCAGTTATCAATAAATCAGATATTTGTTCACTTGTTTTCTGTATCTGCTTATTCTGTTCAGAATAGTGAGGATGGAGCCTACTTTATACAGTATGTGATGTCTGTTTTCTTATTACCAGCTGCACAAACTTGATATGACCTGTTTGTGTTTCCTTATACAACTGAATTAGAATACATGTTTAAAATAATACTAATTATATTTCAGCCACTGTAGCTCAGAAAGTACATATCACTGCTAGTCAGGCTCTCAGTAACTGTGAGATTACAGTGTGTGCAAAAAACGGGCTACATGGACTAAGTCCCTATGACTCAGGAATACTGTAGGCAACTAGCACAAATGCAAGCCATTAGTGTACTTTGTCTCAGCCACGTAAGGCATGTGTGTATCATGACCATAATCATCTCACGCTGTGTGTGTGGGGGTGTGAGCACATCACTGTCAAACATGGATGCGAATGTTTTTTTTGTGGAAGGATGTAGAGAGAAGGGGGAGGAAATGATTTCAAGACGCCTCTCTCACGCATAAAAGTACTGTACACAGTGAACAGTTCTCTGAATCTCCCAGTTTCTAGCTCAACTCTGCTCCAATGTAATCATTAATACATCAAATGACGATGCATCTTCGACAGTCTGCTGCACCTGTTTCACCATGAAGATAGAAAAGAAACTCCGAACGGCAAGCTTCAGAGCACACTGGAGAAGTTGTCAAAGTTTCCTGCCTCCCTAAATTAAATGTCTCCTCACATTAAGTCAGACACTATCACTGCACAGTAAACACACACACACACTTTGGACCAACAGGCGGAATCTGATCATTGTAAGTGTCCTCATTATATTACCTGTACAGAGGAATTTCATTCACTCATTTCTTTCATAATATCAACATGTATGTAATACTGGCTAGGGCCAGTATAGCACATATATATACACACACACACACACACACACACATACATACACATATATATATATATATATATATATATATATATATATATAGTATTTGTGTTTTCTTGGTAGCTGTGTCCTGACATTTTTATCAATATTGCTGTATTTTAATGCTTTTTATGCCCTTAGTTGATTTTAAATTAAATTGTAAAATGACGACATCTGAATCCTGATCTTAATTTACAATGAAAATGTGACTTGACTGTCAAGTGTGACTCTGGCTGTTTGTTTGTATTGGTTAGTGTAAATAGGGTCTGTTGGTGTGTTTTGGGAATAGGGGGATATTAGAACAAATCTGGAAATCTGTTATCATTGCATTAGGGGTTATATATTGACCACATATTTATTTAAACAATTTATTCAAACAGACAGGTCAAAATAACCTGATAAAAGGTCAAAACACTGTTTATTTAAACAAATATGTGGAGCCGGTCAGTGTTCAGAAATGAACCACAGTCTTTATATCCACATGCCTGAACGAGTGCTGTGCTTGTTTCATTA